CAAAAATGTTCAGATCGACAGCAACGTGATTCGTGAGAAAGCTAAAAGTCTTTATGCTCATTTTACGAGTCAACAGGTGGTGAAGTGGCTAGTGCGGCTACTGAACCAACTTTTAGTACCAGTAAAGGTTGGTTTGAGAATTTTAAGAAAGGATTCTCTCTCCATAATGTGAAGATTTCGTGGGGGGGGGGGCATCAGCTGACCACAGGGCCGCATATACATTTCCTGTCAAGTTAAAGTAAATAATAGAAGAAAAAGGTTATAGACCAGAGCAAGTGTTTAATGCTGATGAATCTGGTCTATACTGGAAGAAAATACCTTGTAGAACCTACATAAACAAGCAGGAGAGGCATGCCCCTGGGTTCAAGACAGCCAAGGACAGAGTGACACTCATCTTCTGTGGCAGTGTAGCTGGCCACATGATCAAACTTGGCTTGCTTTACCACTCAGCAAACCCTAGGGCTTTAAAGGGAAAAACAAGAACCTTTTGCCAATATTTTGGCAGTCAAACAAAAAGGCATGGGCAACTGTACATTGTACAAGCATTCCTGGATTGGTTCCATAAATGCTTCGTCCTGGAAGTGGAACAATACCTTGCTTCCAAGAAGATGGAATTCAAGGTGTTATGACTGATAGACAATGCACCAGACCACCCAGAAAGTTTGCAATTTAGCCATCCAGGTGTAGAGGTGGTGTTCCTACTCCCTAACACCACTTGCTCTTATTCAGCCTCTCGATCAGGGTGTAATACACACCTTCAAGGCATATTACACACGCCGCTCGTTTGGTCGTATCCGTAGTGCCATGGACGCAGACCCTGACCTAGATGTTAGCAAGTGTCGGAAGGAGTACAGCATTGTGGGCTGCATTACCAAAATCAGTGAAACATTCAATGAACTCAAACCAGAGACAGTGAATGCTTGTTGGCACACCTTTTGGCTTGAGTGTGTGAATAACTTACAGGGATTTCCGTCCATAGTAAAGGATGTGAATGACATTGTGAGTGTTGCACATCAGTTGGGTGGTGAGGGGTTTGTGGACATGTTGCTGAAGATGTGAAAAAACTGATTGATGAGCACGGAGAGGAACTGACAGAAGAGGATTTGGAAGAGTTGGTAAAAAGTGCGGAGGAAGATGATGAAGAAGAAACTATGGAATTGCAACAAGAAGGTTGGGGCTTGGACAAATTTGGTGAACTATTTCAACAAGTAAAGATGGTAACTGATTTCATTGTTGACCACGACCCTTCCTTAGAACGGAACCTTAAGATGGTCCAAGGAATCAACCAGGTATTGTTTCCCTCCCAGGAAATGTTTGAAGACCTCAATGCAAAAAAGAAACAACTACCAATCATGAGTTTTTTCAAGAAAAAACCAGCTACTACCGCCACTGCTCCACCCTCCTCCTCCCAGTGACCCGCCACCTCACTACACACCTCCCGGCCACGCACCACCTCCCAGTCGCACGCCTCTCCACCAACCACCACTGCATCACCTTCTTCCAACAGTGATCCTGATGATCCCCCTATGCTTCAGTAACCAGGTGTCTCCCTATGTACAGTGCACCACTTATCAAGCTCCAAATTTTCACATACAAGTGTAAGTACTGGTGACTAAGTTTCTCATAAGCAGTATAGGTATATATTAGTGCACTAAGGTATTATATAAGTAGCTATTCGCGGTTTTGCCAATTCACGCCATTTCTTGGAACCTAACCCTCATGAATGGCAAGGGTTTACTGTACTATACACTGTCACTATAGATATTTAAAATGGGGAAGCACACAGAAATCTTTCCATGTTTCTCAGTTACAATACATTTCCACAACCAGGCAGTAATGTCTTGAAAGACCGTAAATCAGTTTGGTAGTTTAAACAGTAGACAAGTGATGGACAAACTTCTATATGTGATCATTTTTATGATAAATTTACAGTAAACTACGCAAAGACTACGAGAATATACTTGCTTTGGCTATTTGAGTAAATCTATTTTCTATACCAGTGATGTAGTCAAGCTGGGGACCGAGACCATTCACAATTTTTAGCTTTTATGAGGTTACCTGAAGATTAACCCACTAAGTGCTCACCTGAAGAGTCGCCCTTCTGCTTTAGCCTGAAGTTTAACGGGCGGGGAATCTTCAGGTAATCCATAAGGCTAAAATTGTGAATGACCTTAACTATATCACAGTTCTATATACTGTACAGAATCTTCATTAAAATTTGGTTCAATGTAATACCTATTCTGACCGTTTCCTTGTACTAAGAAGCCTCAACATCGACATTTTTTATTTTGCAATTCAAGTTTGGGACATCAGGTATGATATCTAAATGTCACCAATCTACAGAACAGTAAAGTAAAGTTAGGTAATAGTTCCTAAAGACTGCTGGAATGATTTTAGGACAACTTCAACAGGAGTTTTTTTCTCTTCAATGAGCAAATAGAAAATGCTATATTGTAAGGGAATGTACAGTCAACCCTCACTTTACTCGGTCCCACATTCCGCGTTTCCACGGTACCCGGCCGAAACCCGGGATGCTCACATTCCGCAGTGCGTGTACCCCTTTACGTGGAGTGTCCGGCTCGACGCTATTTTTAGATTCGCCCCTCCCGCCTGCTCCCGTCCCCGCGGTAAGGTTGCGCAGTGCATGTCTCTGTTGCGTTATCAGTGACATCATATGACGTATCGGACTGTGATTGGCCATGCATCCCTACCTCCCTCTGCTGCTAGCTGTAATTGGTTTAAAGTAATATGACGTGTCCACCCGGGGGAGGGAGGGAGGGAGGGAGGAAAGACGACGCTTGACCTAGCCGCGGCAGTTTCATCCCTCCAGGCCACACCGTGTAATCGTGCATCCATTGTTCTGTAAAATGGCTTCCGCCGGACCACCGCCCCCAGAGAGAAACCTTTCCTTGCCTGGACCCAGCCGCCCTAAGCCAAAGAAGACACGACGTTCCTTAAGCTACGAGGTGAAGTACAAGATCATCCAAGAGTTGGAGAAAGGAACAAGACAGGTTGATTTGGCGCACCAGGATGGTGTGAACGAATCTACGATCCGGACGATAAAGAAGGATGCAGCCAAGATAAAGGAGCACATGAAGATCACAAAGTCTACAGGTGCTTCTATGATCAGGTATTTCCACAACCAGGTGCTTCTCAAGACGGAAAAATTACTTGTGAGCTACTTGGTGCGTTAGGCGCGACGGAACATGGCGGTTGACACGCGCTCTGTTAAGGAGCACGCACGTGAACTGTATGCTGCAGTGTCACGAAAGATGGAAATTACAGAGCCCAAACCCTTTAATGCTTCCTCTGGGTGGTTACAGAGGTTTAAGATGAGGAACAAGATCACCAATATCAACATTGGTGGTGAAGAAGCTAGTGCTGACCGTGTTACGGCTAGGGAATTTCCTCCGTTTTTACGTGAGATTATGGAGGAAGGACAGTACACCGACGACCAGGTGTTTAACATGGACGAATCTGGTCTTTTTTGGAAAAAGCTACCTTCCAAGACCTTCGTTGTGAAGAATGCCAGGAAGATTCGGGGCCGGAAGTTGCAGAAGGAGCGCATCACCGTCCTGTTTACCACCAATGCCTCCGGTACCTGTAAGCTCAAGTTATTGGTGATCCACACAGCACGCAAGCCGCACGCCTACAAAAGCATGGACATGACCAAGCTAAATGTCCACTGGCTGACCGCACGTAAGGTGTGGATGTTCTCTACACTGTCCCTCTCCTGGTTTGATGACTGTTTCGTTCCCGATGTAAAGAAATTCTGTGAGCAACAGAATGTGCCATTCAAGATTTTGTTGCTGCTGGACAACGCACCAGGACACTCGCCTCTACTGTTAGATCGTCACCCCAACGTAAAAGTGGTCTTCCTTCCTCCCAACACTACGTCTATATTACAGCCCATGGACCAAGAGTTAATCTGTAATGTAAAAGCTGCATTCTCTACTAAAAAATTCAAGCTCCTGAACGACTACACCAACACCAGGGAAGAGTTGCGTAACCTGAGTGACACCACCACCGATAGCAAGAGCGAAGAAGATGAGGATCATCAGTTGGCAGAGCAAAAAATACTTTTCAAACAATTCTGGAGAATATTCAACATCAAGAAAGCTGTGGACTTCTTGGTGGAGGCATGGGATCAGCTGTCTGTAGCAACTGTTCGTCACGCATGGAGACATGTGTTGCAAGGCATTCCAGCCGTTAGGCAGAGTCAATCTGTGACTGGTGAGGTTCAGACTGTTGCAGTAGCAGTGGACCTTGCCAGAGAAGCTGCGCAGAGTGTTACAGCTGCAGGCTTCTCCGAGACCACCAACGACGACATCCTGGAGGTGATAAGGGATCCTGATGTGACTACCGACGAGATGGTAGATGATGATGACGTCAGTGAAGAGGCAGGTGGTGCGTCATCCCAAGAAGAACACCGCTTATCCCATAGTAATGTTAGGGGTGCCATCGAGTGTATCGAGAAAGTCAAGCTCCTCCTTTCCGACGACCCTGACGCAAACAGGTATGAAATCTTCACTACCCAGCTGTTGCAGACGATGGAGCCCTACATCAAGGTTTATTACGACAACATAAACACCAGCCGTCAGCAAAGCATAACAGAGTTCTTCGCCCGCAACCCACCACAGCCAGCCCAAACCAGTGATAGTGACAGAGGTAGAGACAGTGAAGATGACTTTGAGGGATTTGTCAGGGAGGCCCTGACAAGTGTGGATGACAGTGATGGTGACTCACCTGAGGGCCAGTAGCCTGCCCTCTGCCTCGGAACCAGCCCCCATCCCCGTATGCCGACCCATCTCTTCTACTAACTTAAGTGTTAAACCTAACTTTTAGTTTTCCTTACCTAACCTTTATTTTTCCTAACTTAACCTTTATTTTTCCTAACCTAACCTCTTCTATATTAATTGTGTGTGCATACCATCATAAAGTTAAGATAAAATTTTTACTACAACATAGTTGTGTGTCGTCAAAAAGTGGAGTTTGGGGGTCGGCCCGGTCTATTTCAATTAATCCCATATGTTATGTTGTTCACTTTACGCGTTTCTCACTTTCCGCGGTACCCTGTGGGTTGTATTAACCGCGTAAAGTGAGGGTTGACTGTACACAGAAATCATACACATATCTGAAAACAGTAAATGATGAGAACATAGGGTGTCTAAAAAAAATAAAAATAATTACATGCTGCCTTACAGATTTTTATGGAGATCACGTGAAAGATTATATTATAAAAGCAACATTGTCCTCAATTGTGGGATATCTTGCACATTAACAGGTGAGGACAATGTTGCTGTTTTAATACTGTACAGTATATTGTACAGCTACAGGCATTCCCATGATCTCCACAAAAATCTGTAAGGCAGAGTGCATAACTTTTTTGGGAACACCCTGTATATGTGAATGAATAAATTTACACATGAATGACGCCATACGAAGATAATGACTTAGAAATCTGACTCAAGTAGATAAGACAAACTTTTAACACAACAAACTAAAAGAATTATAAATAACATTGTAAGTTTACACTAGAAGTACATTATAAGCAAGGGCAAAAAATATGTAGGTGTGCATGGTAAGCAAAGATAAAAGATTTTTCAATGGAAACCCACTTTAACCCCTTGTGTACGGGGGTCTTTCTGTGTTGAATGAAATCAACTGTCGTTAGCCAAGTAAAACATGAAAAGCGGCGTCCCTGTAGTGATGGGGTTAGGGGTGAAAAAATAAAGAGCAGGTGATTACTTGGAGATACAGTCATACTACAAAACAACGTTCTACTGATTAGACCCCCACCCAAGCTAATTTTCCCTGATGATTAAACACCTTAGCACTACCTAAGGGGGGAGGGGGGGGGTTAGGTTAAGTCATAGATTAGGTTTTTTTAAGTTAAGTTATGTAAGGCTATGTCAGGTTAGGTTAGCATTAGGTCAGGTTAAGTTAGCCTTAGGGTGGTTAATCTTAAGGTGAAATAAGCTTGGGAGGTTAATTTTCAGGTGATTCTTTTTCATTACCATCCTTAAGTGAACACAACTCATGAGATTTCTGATGAAAAATGTTTCAGGCAGACTTATGAGAGTTTGACTGATCACTGGGAAAACAAAAGAAGAGAGGATTCCTTTGTGTACTGTGAGCACTTATGGTGGAAAACGGCTTCTGAGCCATTGATTTGCAGCAGGAAGATTACTGGAAGGTTCAGGGTGATGAATATAGGAAACCAAATTAATGATAAATAATGAGGTATGATTAATAGAGAAATAAAAAGTTGATATACAAATACAGGGTAGATGGATACTTTTAATGTGATAAAAAAGGAAAAGATTAAGCACTTCTGTTAGCTGGTAAATTGCTTATCAGGAAAACCAATGAAAGGTTACTGGAGTTTAATAATGGCACCTACTGGGGAAGACCAATGGGTAATTCTTAAGATGGACCAATAAGGAATTTCTTACGATAGACTAATGATTGTTTTTTAAGAACAATGGAAATTTTTTTCCATTTGCTTATGGGGGAAAATTTCTTGGATGAAACACTGGAAAAGTCATGGTAAAGAACAAATGAGGGATCCTTAGCACTGTCCATGAGAAAGTTTTTTGTATGGATCAGTGGAACACTCTTAAGAGAGAATACATGTTTGGACTTCCAATAACTAAATGGAAGTGATGACTAGGGAAGCATTCAATGTGTTCTATAATAAACAAAATAATTAGCTAGTCATACAAATGTGAAGTAAAGTACTTATACATACGTACATACATACACACACACACCTCCCACAGTTTAAATAAGTTTGGTGTAAATAAGGCAAAGGATTTACCCTTTACCAATAAAAATTTGATATACAGTATACAGTACATGGTGTTTGGAAGTTCCTGTTAATGGAGTATTTTCATGACTTTAGAGGACTTGTGAAGACTATGAATAACTACAGTAAAATGATATCTATAAAGTGAAACAGTGTATAGCACTTTAACTCACTTTTTCAAGGTCTTCTTTCCCCCAACTCCAACTGGCCGTAATTTCACCACATCAAGCAACACCCCGACTGTTGCCTTTGATAGCCCACAGGTGCTGAAGAATGCCACCATGCAACTCAGTGAAGCAGCCCTTATCTTCAATAAATAAGACATGCCACTACCTGATGACAACCAAGCCAACCCTACACTTTCTCCTCACATCAACATGTAGAGCTCCACTACACTGTTATGTCTTAGTGTGTGCAGAACTTTAGCCTATAACTGGTGAGTACAGTACACTACTTGTATATTCGTGTACAGTACAGGATACATTATAGAATAGTTTCATATTCCTAAAATAAACTACAATACAATACATCACTTTTTTGCTGATGTCTTAGTAAGGATACTGTACTGGGTTTGGAGAAGGGGTCTGGAATGTACACCTTAGTTACTACAGAAAACTAGGATTGCTCTAAATGAATTTGCTGTAAATGAGCTTTTTCTGAGAAAGCATCCTTTGTTTGGGTCAAGGGAAGGGTTTGTGTGTGTCTGTGATGTATTCTATCTCCTATGTAAACCATTCGTATATAAGCAATAGCTGCGTTCAGGCAAGAAATGCATTTTCATAAATTCTTTAGTGAAACTTTCTGCCTCAACTATTTATTAAATTTTTAATTTCAATTTAAAATTTTGTTTATATTTACAGAAACTTATGAATTAAAAGACAAGGTATCCTACTGGAAGTAAGTCCTATTTGCAACCAGACTGTGCAGAAAATACAGCAACATCATTGGAAAAAATAAGTTAATGTTACCATTAATACTGTACTTATGATAAACCTGAGCAGAAGAAATTCAAAATTTTTCCTGGTCCCAGTTCCAGGGGATACACACTTCACCGTCCACCATAACAGCGTAGTAATGTGTGATCCAGATACGTGCACCTGACAAGAGCGGAGACAGACGGTAGCCAGAGTCCAGTAGACGCTCCAGGCACTCTATCATCATGTTTGGCATAACTGAGTCATCTTTCTCCAAGAATTCTAGTCCAAGATCTTCTTTGCACTTTTCATATAAATCCTTTTCTTGGTCACGAATACTGAAGTGGCAAGAGAAACACAGTCACAACTAACGTTATCATTAGCTTCAACACAATTCTCATATAATTACTGTGTTGTACTTGAGTAAATAATGTGCATTAATATAAGAAGAGATATAATGAAACATCACCACAATTAATGTGCTATAATGATTTTTCTAAACAACCAGACCATTTCAAGCTTGGTTTAGGTCAATCATGAAAATGTATTTGTCATTGATATTAATTTAAGTCAGTAACTATTTTATCTTAGGTCAATTTATCTGTATAAAGTGACTTAAATTACCTAACAGATTCTATGATAAAAACAAGTAGAGTAGAGAAGAGTACAGTGGGCCCCGCAAATCTTTGAGGCGTGGTATGACAATGTCAAGCGTAAATAAGCAAAGTTAACTTCTTATGGGAAATAAGGGCTAAGGTAAATTAGCTCAAACATGCTTACAGCTTCCCCCAATACCTAACAGTAAACTACTTTAAATAATGTACAGTAAAGCTTCATTCTCCATCATGTATTTCATAAATCTCAATAACCCTGTACAGCCAGGCAATGGCACACTGGTAAAGCCAGTCTTTACAAAGTGTTCAACATTTTAAGCTTTTTATGAATATTCAGGAACACACACCTCTACCGCTGCTTCTTCTCAGGTTTCCTGTAATATCAACTTGATGTTTTTGGGAAGAAGGAGATGCCATGTTACAAATCAAGGCAGATGATGGGCAATAAGTATAGCAGGCAACTGTATGATAGAGAGAGTATGGCAACTGGTCAGATGTAGACACACGGACAAGAGGTATTTGCCTCTGTGTCCAAGTGTGTATATAATGTGCAATGTATTTAGGTGGATTAATTCCTGATGCAAGTCAAAATTTTATGAAGCCATTGTAAATAATTAGAAAAAAGTAAATTATAATTTGCCAAATATTTGTGGAACATAATTATGAGAAGTATATATTTGTGGGGAACCATTGTACAATAACAGATTTTTCATTCAACTTGACATTTCCAGCTAATGTCATCATCTTTTTCAGAAATGTTCTCTCTTAAGAAAACTCTTATGATAAACTTTTACAGTTCAAATAGTCGTATATTCCACAAGATTCCCCCTTCACAAAAACTGTATACTGGTACTGTACTGAAACAGTTTTTTATTATTACTTTCATCAAAACTCTATTTTGCCAAAAACGTTGTTCTTTAAAATTCCCTGATAAAACCATCTATCTACAGTACTGTATATCAAACAGAAATGTCCCCAATTTTATATTCCACACACCTTTCATACTCAGCAATCATCTTCTCTGCCTGATCCATATTTTCTGTAATAAAGTTGACTAGCAGCCATGGAGGGCAGGAAGATGGTGCTAATATCTGGCCAGTTGGAGACAACATGAGTGGACCAGCAGCCCTAAAATGAATATATTTAAATCAACTCATATCACAAAATACACACATTGTCTTATGGCAGAAAAAAAGATTAAAAAAAAAAACACACACACACAACAGTAAGCAGTACAATTAATCAACCAATTCACTGATTTTTTTTAGAATTGTTTACCGAGTTTGAATTAAATAAATTGAATAGCCAATGTAGTATATTATATCACATATCAATTAAAAGTGCTTTAGGTACTCACGACTCAACCACAAGTTGTAAAGAAGACAGTTTTTCCGGCCAAGACTTTGGAAAACCTTCACGGCCTCGATAATCTCCAAGTGATGTGACTAGACGTCTCAGATGCTGAATGTAATGTTCCACTAACACAAATGGTTGATACTTTCTGCAGGCAAAAAGGTATTTATAAATTTCCACTTTTCATTTCTCATGAGATCAAGTACAAGAAACTCCTATAATGATGCAACTTACTCCAACATTCTCATAAATTTGCTATTATATGAGAAATGTTTATTATCCTTTAATAATCAATGAAATGAGATGACTTCATAGGACAACACAGAAATTAACTTCATTTATTTAAAAATAGAGAACTTCCAAAAAGACTTTGCCATAAAAACAAATTTATGTCTTTATAAGTGGAAAAATACTGTATCCAAATTTCTAAAACTTTCTCTGATGAAAATAAAGAGCAAGGATTGAATCCTTATAGATGGTCAAAGGGATGAGTGAGGTGAGTTACCTGTAAGACAAAGCTGCCAAACACCTCCTGGGCAAAACCTGCCATTGACATCACACTAAAATTCAATTGACCTGCACTAAGTGCCACACTGTTCATACGTAATGAAAAGCTCATTTCCAAACCCTTAAAACATCTCAGTTTTAGAATGGTGATTAAGAAATATAATTGTTTAGTGGCCAAAATAGCTTTGTCATATAACCACAATAATAAGAGTAACACCGAACACATACTAAACAAGGCACCCAATGAGGACCTTCTATTATCCGAAACACAGACGAAACTTAAGTCTCCTGAGCAAACAAGGCCGGTTCCCTGTCATTTATCTTTTATTTATTATTTCCACTTCTCAACTTACTAACCAGTCAGGCAGTGAGCCTGTTCTTTGTTATGACCTTCATTGTCCAGTGTTAGTGAAGGACAACACTGGAGTACAGTACGTGCCTGAAGAAAACCTGAGATGTTTTGGTAGAGTCACACTGGTTAACACTTTTCTAACTTTCCACCAGGGGATTTAAACCCATGACTACAGTGGTGAGACACATGCTAACTACCACTGTAATGAACCACCATTACAGTACTTACACAAAATATGGTTGGGTTGGAAAGTAACTTAGGTTCAGATGATACAGAGGAGTTCAAAGTTTACTCATATAAAAAATGCACTCACTGACCTACCACAGCCTATTCAAATTAACTGATAAGCCTCTTGAAGAGTTTACCAATGATTAGCCAATTACTAACAACTGTAAGCGTGTTAAACTCTCCAGGAACAAAATTGATGAATGTAAAATGCAGGTCTGCCAAAACCAGCAGTGTTGCTTCAACATTTGCTTGCACATGGTCATCCTTTGCTCACATACCGACTCACCCCAAACAACCCACCTGGGGCAAGTCCCAGTCCTCACAAATAAACACATCACAAAATACATGGAGAAAGGTAGAGTGTTTGTGAGATGCAATTTACATAATCCAGTGTTAAGGCTTGCCACTTCTAGCCTGCTAACCCAGACTTGGCAGCACCAGCAATACATGATGATAAACCTTACAATATGATACCAGTAAGAACATATATTTGCTATACTCTATATTGGTATACTGTACTCTATATGATAACTGAGGAGCAATAGCAAACATATCCCTGAGATGACCATCAGATTCAATCAGACTCAGCAGGTTGGGTAGGATGCAATTCAGTCATTGTTTGTACTATAGTATATCGTTGTCCATCAGTATAATGTCCTGTTGTCACATACTATACTGCACATTCTTTGGGCACTGGCAGGCTCTGTACAAGAGGTGATTGACAACAGTATGCATTGTAAGTCACACAAGAGGCTTTTTAACTATAAAACTCATCTCAAGGTTCTCATGCTTCACTTCAATTTCCTGATTCCTGAAACTAATTTCTACAGTAGAAGACCAGTCTTACCGATGAGTGACTTGAATTTCTCTTAAAGCATTTGAAACTGCTCTCTGCATGTCAGGTATGCGCTGTATCATAGAATCCTCCTCAGGTAGTTTGCATATAACCTATAAACATATATGACTTGTAATAAAACTTATTCAACACAAATTTCACAAAATAACAAGTATATTATTTTTTCACTTAATAATTTATCATCCTAAACTGAGAAGCAATAATCTTTTTTATTCTAAATAAAAGAAATATACTGTACAAATAACATTCTAATTTATAAAGTGACCTTCCACAGCCATCTGCTGTAGTCAATTACATGGCCAGTGTATAAGTCACCAAATACTGTATCAAAATTACTGTAGGTGTAACTCATCTATTCATCTCTTGTGATCCTGAAATTCAATTCTGTAGCTGAGCCTGGATTGTGTGCCTAATGGTCCCTTCCTATAGGGGCTGCTGGAGGGAGTTGGAACTGAGGTGGTTAATCCAAAAATGGTAGTCTGGAGGCAAGCAGTGAGGAGGAATAATTTTTTTTGGGGTGTTCTTCTGAATGTCAAACACAAAATTACGGCTTCATGTTTGGATGAAGCAACTCAAGAGATGGAGGAAGAAGACAAATACAGTATACCATAAGTTCCAGGTGGTGTGAAAGGGAACTACCCATGTTCCCCTCCAGATTGTGTAACCTGGGAAACAGGAGGAGGTAGCCGGGACTCCTTGAGGAAACAGATTAATGACTTCACTGCCTCCAGTGAATTATCCAATCTAAAGTTAACTGGCAGTCAAATTCCCTTTGATAATCCAATACTGTATTCATGAAAATTTAACATAAAATACAGTACTTCATGCAGATTCAACCACTCCAAAGGTGAGATGATCATTATTGCTTACCTCCTTCAACCTCCAAAATGGAAGTTTCCTTTAATTCTAATTTGTTTAGCATATTATCATGATTATTATCATAAAAAAACAGATTACTATACTGTATACACTAAACCCCACACCAGTGCTCAATACTATAAGGAGTAAGGTGCATCATACAAGCAAAACATTTGAACCATAGGGAATAAAATTTATATGTGGGTTCACGTACAGTACAGGTATATCCACACAGCAAATATAGACATTAACACCACCAGCCACACACCAGGTACTGTAAGTGTGCCTGGTGAAGAAGGCAACTTGACCAGAAAGAAGGGACAAAATTAAATGTTAGTCCCCTAGTAAGCACCCTGTATTGTGAGAACAGATCAGACTTACAGCACACCTCGAAAATTTTACAAAGCATAGCATATAAACATGTTTGTTCAAACCTATTCCTGTTTCCCATAAGAGGTATTCTAACCTAACTATACCATCACACAGGTTAGGGGAAAAATTAATTTCAGTATTAACCTTAAACCTCGGGTTAGGGTGTTGCTGGCAGTACACCCCCACCCCCCTACGGGGATAAATCGATAAAAAAAAATCTACTTCAAAAAAAAAAAAAAAAAAAAATAAATACATAAATAAAAATAAATCAATAAAAAATTGGTGGGAAAATAGGCGGACGTTCTGGAACATCACCCGGGGCCTAAGAGTTAAATGACCAACCTTCAGCCACTGGTTACGGACTTCTGAAGTACTAAGAACGACATGTCCTTCCAAACTCACACCCGTCTCATTCCCAAAGTGGACAGCCCGACCTGGTGATAATTACAGCCTTTAGTTTATTTTATACTGTATATATCTCCTGCTGAATACACTTCTACTGATGAAGAGAATCAGTTATATCAAAAATTTGTTTTTACTTTATACTCTTCACCACTGATCAGTTTCTTAACCCAAACTCTTTACCACAAATCAGCCTCTCAGCCTCTTAACTCAAACCCTTCACCACTAATCAGCATTTTACACCCAGAGTTTTAATCAACCTCTTCCGGTGACGGGGGTCATCGTGTATACAACCAGACTTTTAAATATTTGAGTCACGAAGGACACTGCACTACTGTGTTTGACAGAGAGGTGTGGCAGTAAAATTAACTTATAATAATGGAATTAGTTACTTTTACCACCACACCCTCCTCTCAAAGGGTTATTAAAACTCTGGGCTTTAGCCTCTTAACTCAGACTCTTCACCACTGATCAGCCTCTTTAACTTAAAGACTCCTCAGCACATGTCAGAAACTCTTCACTCACCTTGCAAAATTTCCTTAATCTCCTGATGGTGCATGGTGAGTGCCTTGAGACCCTGAAGGCAGCCTCGCAAGTGTGTCGTGCCAAGACCTCGTTGCCAGGAGAGCTGACTCAGATTCAGTTCCTCTATCAAACTGTGGCGGAGTCTCACGATATCTTGGCGAATAGGCTCACTGACGGCTAATCTTCTCTCGGCCTCCCCCATGTTCTTGATCAGCCATGAACTGTAGCAATAAGTCAACAATTCAGTCAAAAGACATTCTGACTTTGTTTTGGGATTATGTAAAGATTAGACACCCCTAACTTATTTCACCTGATGATTGTATAACCCCTAATACAGTGCACTCCTAGTAAGAAATACTGTATTTAAAAAATGAAGGGGAAATTATTGAAAATTTCCTTTTATAGTATCACTCTTTTTTATGCAGTATACCTCTTACACTGTGTACAATGATTTATTCAATCATAAACTGACATTTCTCACTAAGTGGGGTTCTTAACTAATATTATGCAGTACAGTCGTTGAATAAAAAAATTCTTACTACAGATTTTCCCTCAGTCTGGCTGAATACAGCTCATCCTCAGGGTTAAAGGTGCTTGAGCCACCATGAAATGGTTGATGCCACTTTATCTTCCTGTCTGGTTCGTGCAGTGACTCTGGAAGGTTGTCCACATATTTGGTGGGAAGGTCAAATTCATTGAGAATACGGTGCACGATGTCTCGAGCTGAAGGTTTATTCAAGTTCAATGCTACTGTGTTCAGGCTACCTGTAATTTAAATTAATTAAAAATATCAAAGAATACTTGGTGAGAAGTTCCCTAAAAATTATCGACAAGTTGCTGGCTATTATGGAGGGGTCTGTTAGAGGTCTGATAGCTGATGTTCTAAATAAGTGAACACATGTGTTAAGTGCCACACTACTCTTCAGTCATGCTTGGTAATGTGACTCAAGAGACAACAGTGAACTATACTGAGAAGGCAGGTTATTGTGAGTTAAATGTGAGGCAGACAGTGAACAATTCAGTCAAGACACTTAAAGGCTTCCCTTAGTGATTCTAAAACATTATTAAAATTAATGAGAATGTTGATAGCACTGTGCCACTTGACTACTTTCAGACTGTGGAAAAGACGGAACAAAACTACCAACAGCCTGAACCAACAGTCTCATGAAGGCACCCAAGAAGACCCATTGTTATGTCCCTTGTGAAGCACCACATTATGATATCAGAAAATTATATGTGTCCAAGATATACAAATTACTGTGATAGAGAATACATATATTACTAAGTCACTTTAATTTAGAAAGATTAAAGAACCCCCAACAGTTTGTAAGAGATTCACCAACAGCATAACAGATGCCACAGAGATCATTAGTAATGACTGAAGGAACCTCTTACAAGGGCAGTAGAGGAAGACACACCATAAGCTGTCCAAAGTTTAAAAATCTTATCCATACTGTCAAGAATAAAAGTTGTGTTTGTAAACTTTCCTACCTTGCATTTTCTTATTTTTGATATAGAACTGTAGACTGACAGGCCTTGGTTTCTCATGATTGATGAGAGAATCAAGGTGACTGTTAAGCAACTTAAGGGAAGCATCGTTAACATGTTGAGCTCTTGGGTGTTGACCAAAGAGATCTGGGTGGACGAGGAAGTAGAATGGCCGCAATGCTGTTGTCACTTGAGCAGAAGATAAGTTCCGGCAAGAATTCTTAATTTCATAGAGGAGTTGTCTAGGAGCTCTGGAAGTTATGATATGCCTGAAATAGATTCATACTGGTATAGAGTACTGTAACAGCAATTCTTCCTTCACAAGCTATATAACAATTTTCATAATACTGTACAGTATAATCATTATACAATACAGTACTGAAAACCACATTATACAAAACCAATTCATCATGCAAACGTCTTTAGAAATCATTAACTGTTTTTTGAACATATTTTGTCACACCAAATGCAGAATATACAGTATGATGGTGTGAGGCCACAAGTGTGATCTCATTCAAGACCAGAATTGACCAATACTGGCACAGGTACAGATACATTCTCGGGCTGGTACATGCCCAGTACTTGCCAACAGTGCATAACAGAGATGTGATCAACTGTCAAAGCAGCTAACGAGCCAATCAGTGACGAAGAAGATAAAGTACTGTATATACGTATGGGGTGGGGTACAGTATACTGTAAAATACAATGGCTTGCTGCATTCTTCAGTAAAAATAAACAAATATGTGCAGGAAAACAGTACGAGTTTCTAAAGGATGCAAGAATGATCTTACAATAACAATAAGGTGACATTTAATGCTCAATGACATCAATTCTTCTTTACTATAAAATTAGGCAGGAGATATTTGACGGTATCCGGCCGAATAACCACTGGTTATTTGACCGGGATTTGAATCAAATCTAAGTACTTCTGGTCATAGAAAATTCTACATATTATTTTATATACTGTATTGACAATTTCAAACTATTAGAACAAATTATCATGTAGAAATAATACATGCAAAATTAAGGATACAAGGAAGATGAAATCAGATTAAATTCTAATCAATTTGTTAAGAAAACCAACACCTGAACGTTTAACAGTTATAATACTGTTTAGGTAGCGGGTGTAAACCCCAGAAACTGTTGGTCTGACCTAAATTAACTTAACCTAACCTACATTATATACTGTATGTCCAGGAGAGAAGTGGGACATCTCGGAGTATAAGAAAATGATTTAGGAAGATAGTGATAAGCTATTCAACATTTACATAATGGTGTAATACCCACAGCCATCCCAGGGGCGGATCCAGCTGCAGGTGGGGGAACATGGCGAGTGCAGGAAGCCCACCCAGCAATAGCAATTACTTTTTACTATACTGTACAAAAATGCCTGAGTACAATACTGCATTCAAGAAAAAGTATTGTAATTTTGTGATGAAAAGAGGGGGTCCAGACCGCCCCCCCCACCCTGTATCCTGACAAGAATCTCTATTAAAATCATAATGAAATCATACACAATCCCTAAGGGTCCGGGTCAAATAGCCGATGGTTATTTGACCAGGAATCCCGGTCAAATAAACACTTCAATAAAATTACGTTTGAAAAATAACTAATGACCTTCAACACTTTGTTAGCTTCTAGAGTGGCAGGAGTTTCTCTCAGCTGAACACAATACCTAGGTGCAACACATTCCTTAAAGGGTTAATGCTGGTCATAGCTCCAGCTTTGACCAACCTTAACACTTGCATTTTAACATCTAAAGTGATGCTTTTACTTAACACATCTGTCACATTTCCAGCACTAAAACTTAGGTATTATTGTAGTTTCAGCCCCAACTCAGTTAGAGCATTTTACTGATAACTCAGTAACCACTCATTTGCAATGGAAATGAAAGTCAAATTCGTACGAATCAGACCAAATACCATGGGAATTTTTTTTTTATAGTCGAACAGTAATTGAGGCTGAACCTGCAAATTTACCAGGTTAAGTTGCGTTAGGTTAAGTAAGGTTAGGTTAGCTGCCTATTAGCTTCCGTTTTGCTCTCCCCCACCCAAAATCCTGATTTCCTACGGATCCCTCAATACTGTTGAAGAGGATTGGGGGAGGGGTGATAGCTCAGTAACCTCTCATTTGTGATGGAAATGAGGTCAAATTTACATGAATCAAACCGAATACCACGGGAAAAACAAAAATTTATGGCCAAACAGTAGTTGAGGCTGAAACTGCAATTTTACTCAAACTTGCAGGTCTTTTCTCATATACAGTATCATTAGATTAACAGGTAGACATTTATTCAGTAAAATTTCCACATAAGTTCACCCTAGTTCAGCATTTGCACAGAATAAGCAGATACAGTATTCAAACAGTGATGAAAATTAAGTTGATTTAATCATGGTCAGCCCCAAAAAAGCTATTAAAAGGTTATTTACACTCTGGTATTTGTACGAATCAGTTACTAATCAAATAATAATAATAAAAAACAAGTTAAACAAACACTCGAACTTCTACATGACACATTTACTAAACTCACACTCATTAAAACTAGTGAATATTTCGGTAAAATATTACAAAGTAAATCTATATGCAGCTCTACATATTAACAATTCCATGAAATTACGTGGTAACAATAAATTTCACTCCAATACTTCTACCTTAATCTGCTAATTTACCTGTTACTAAGGTTATTGCTATTACCGAAGCACTGTATTGTACTTTTGTGAACAGGAATAAGAACAATTAACAATGCAGTAGTATACACAATAACAGCACAGTATAACACACAATTAGGAAAACTACAATAGAATGATCTTACATGTAATCCTTACCACTTGAACGGATGGCACGACTGCAAAGGAGTCATTTATAAAACTGTACGAGGTATTTTCTTGCGCTGTTCCTTAAAATCTTGACAATCACAGCAACAGCAACAGCAGCACCGTCAACCACTAAGCTGTAACAGTAAACAAACTCCTTGCTCGGCCTCCAGTACCACAGTTGCATGTTATAGTTTTTCAACATCTACAACATTATGTTTACCAATGATCAGACGAAAAATTGCAAATTAAATCATTATTTGTTCAGTACTTTTTTAAAATCATGAATGAATATTAATATTTCAACAGCTGAGCACTTGTATTACAAACACTTGTTACTCGGCAACTCTAGGTGCTTGGAGTATGAAAAGCATCTACTTCACATCAGTGTCAGTGAGCTATGACCATGTGTAAAGTGGTATTTGTGGGTGTAGTGTAGTAATCAATGTGACAGCTTCTGGCATCCACAGTGCCCTGGTGCCCGTGAAGCCTACTCCCGGGCCCCGGCTCTGTGACTCCCAACATTACGCCCCCCCCTCCCACCGCTGATGGTTGGCACTTGTAGTGGATTCCTCCCCTACAAACGTTGTTTGTCGCTGAGTAGCCGACCCCGCGAATTCACCAGTATATGCCTCGTGGTCTAGGTCAACCAGCGCCGCCTTACATGACGGAGGTCAACTATTAAGCCACGCTTACCTCCGCTATAAAAGACCTGACCTCGTGGTGACCTCTCTTCTTCTAGCTGCAGCCGCAGCAAGCTACACCACCTCCGCTCCTGCCTGGCGGCCCTCGCTCCCGCCGGCGAGCATGGCGACCCACAAGCTGGTCCTCCTCTGAGCACCCTCACCAACCAGCTCTCTCTACATCACGCTTGTAACCACGCTGCCACTTCCCAGCACCAAGCTGCACTGTACATCCAATACAATATGTATACAGAGAGCACATTGTGAGTTTCCTTTCTCCATCCCATCCTGAGTGCGAACCCAAATAACTCGTACCCCACACACTTATCACACGTGTTAATGACTTCATGTGGTGTTTCACGTGACTACGGTGGTTATACTGGGCTGGTGGGAACAGGAATTTAACAAGTGAGTTGGTGAATATTGGGTGTAACTCCTATCAGTGTTACTCAAGGACACTGCTGGCCTACATATCACCTCTCTGCCCCAGTGTATAAGACCTAGATTCCATTTAAATTGAACCATGGCAGGAGTCGACGCCGAGCGGCGCTCTGCTGATGTTCCTGACGAAGGAAACGAAGGAGATGATGAGGACAGTCATGACGACACTGAAGCTGGCTTTCAGAAGTTTAAGACTCGTCAGCCGAAACGCAAAATGAGGACCCATGGAAGGAAGCAGAGTAGAGCCAATAGGTGCATCCCTCCCATTGCTCCCCGGGCTAACTACATACGCCTTGCCTTCCATGAGAGCACAACCAATTTGATGAAGATTAAGTGGTTGAGAGCCCTGAATGAGGAATATTGCACGACTACACTGAATGTTGTCATGCCAGGTAGCACCCCTAGTTTTGTTTATGTAGGCCGAGAGGAGACGGATGCTATCCAACGCTTCATTGATGGAAAGGTCGGCTCACTACATCTCTTAAGCGAGATGAACCTGTCCGACCCCAAAAAATGAAGGAATACCTTGTCACCCACTTCCCCAAGGTTATTCCCCCCAGTGGCGCTCTGTCACTTCGGGGCGTCCACAGAGCAAGAAGACTTTATAAGGATGGTGCACAACTTAGTAAGATCATCATTGTTTGGAAAGGAAGGAACCACCTCCTGAGGAGTACCGCTTCTTCGGCATGTATGGTACCCCTAGTAACATCAGTCGGCAGACTCCTCCCCCTGTGGTGTGCTACAACTGCTTCGGGGTCAATCATGTGGCGAAATAGTGTCACAAGACAGCCACCTGCGGCATCTGCAGGAATGCATAGCACGAGGAGCTGCCCCACCAAGGAAGCTGCCTCTCGGGAGGGGAGAGAGCAGGCCCCCCCACCTGGGAGGCAGTGTCCCAGGTGCAGGAAGAAGGGTGTGACGGCCTGGCACCCAGGTTGTCCTGGGAGGCCGCCTCCACCCACAATAGCGGTCCCACTCAGTGATGCCAACAGCAACACTGTGGGGTCGCCTTGATCGCCTGAAATCAACAGCCTCACCTCCCCACCCAGGAGGCAGTGTCCCAGGTACAGGGAGGAGGGTGTGACGGCCTGGCATCCAGGTTGTCCTGGGAGGCCGCCTCCATCCACAATAGCGGTCCCACTCAGTGATGCCAACGCGGCCGGATCTCCTCCACCACCTGAAGTCAACAGGCACAGTGATTCTCCTTCGTCAGCCAATGCACATCAGGTTAAAGCCTGCCAAGTAAGTGTACCAGTGAACAATGGCAGTGATAGTGTTAGTGGAGCTTCTGAAGGAGCTGGTGCCTCCTCTCATAATGATGCGAACTTGAGGGTGAGTAGCCAGAGTGAGACCGATAGTGATGGAAGCATGAATGGGGAGAATGAGCCCCAGACTGCCAGCGTGGTCTCTTTAATAACCCCAGGTCTGAAAACTGTCCATAACCCTGCACTTCTTCCAATATTTATGGAGTAGGAACTCGCGGGACTAATGAAGGAACCTGTGGATAAAAATCCTACTGGAATAAGGGCCGTGAGGCGCATTATCAAGAACTCCAGGGGTGATGAATTTGAAATGGTTAACTTATTGGTCAGGCTGATCTATGAAGCAACGCGCGACTCTCTATACTAAGTTCAAGGTGGAACGAATAACACGAATGCTTAGGTTCATTTCATGGAATATCCGGAATGTTAACCGCAGAATTAATGACCTACAATGGTTTGTTAAAGTTTTTAACATTGATGTTATTGGTTTACAAGAACCTTGCACGTCCAGCACCCAGAAGAAAGTTGCACCCAGGATAGCTGGGTTTACAGCACACAATTGTGGAGCAGGAAGTGGCCTGCTCACTTGTGTAAAGAATGGTCTGGTCTGTAAATGGATCAAAACTCACAATGATGAAAGTATTCACTATCAACAATTTACAGTAAAGACAGCAAACAGTCAATTTTCGCTGTATAACATCTATGTTCGGTGTAATGAGCTGCGAGCAGACGTGTTACCAAAGCCATCAGGTAACAATGCTATGCTGTGTATGGGTGACTTTAACTCTCGTCACACTGTCCTCGGTGATGTCCAGTGTAACTCTAATGGGAGGGTGTTCGTGAATTACATCAATAATCATAATATCACTGTATACGACACAGACAAAGTGACACATCTGATGGGGGGAAGACTTGATTATGTGATTGGGTATAACCTAGTAGACAGTAATGTCAAGGCTAAGGTCATCTCAGACCACCTAGTCAGTGATCATTATGCAATACTTACTAAATACACTGTTGCTGATGTCAAGTGCTCTTTAGGCAACAGAGAGTAGCTAAGTACTGTTCTTTTTTCTCTCTCTTTACTTTTTTTTTAATAGGTGTAGATCTATACACAGTCTGCACCCCCACAACAACAACCATGAGTTTGATATGTGATTACTGCAGGGAGACGTCAGATATGGAGGATACAGGCCTGACCCTTACGGCATTTAGGAAGTTGCAAACTGCCGTAAAGCATGATGGCTGTTGCTGGAATTGCCCTGCCTGCATAGTCAAGGTGAATGAGGCGATTGCAAGCCATAAGGGAACGAGTTCTCTAGGGACGAAAATAGATGAAGCTGGAGCCCTGCTGGTTGCCAAACTAGAGCAAGTTGGGAAAGAGATCCTTGCTAAGACTGAGGAAGTAGCAGATAGAATGGAGATGGTTGCTAAGAGGAGTTATGCTGACATATTAGCAGGGCCACGGGAGGGGGCGGAGAGTAATGCAGGATCAGAACAGGTTCTACAGCAGCTAGGGACTCTGAAGAAGTGTGTCGAAGAAATGAAAATTAACGGACCTACTGTTAGGGGAGAGGAGGAGCAACAGGAACGTTTCCAGCACAGGAACAATGTACTGTAATAGTTTTTGGAGTCCCAGAGAGCCAGGCGGAGGGAACTGTGAGTAAGGTAACACACGATAAGATGCAGTTTCAAATATTTGTACAGAGGTTCTGAAGATTCCATCAACCCCTCAGGATGTGAGGAGGCTGGGACAAAAGCAGGGGCATAAGCCTCGCCCCCACAGGATCACACTAGCAAGTGGGGAAGAGAAATGAAAGGTTATTTGGCAGGCAAAAAACTTAGCAAGGAGCGAGGCATCTCAGAGTGTATTCATTCACCCAGATCGCACAGTAATGCAGAGGGAACAGCACAAAAAGCTCCTGCAGGACTTGAAGCAGAAGAGGGAGGAGTCAAGGAAGAACGGGGACGGGTGTACATGGGTTATATTCAGGGGAAGGGTAGTGGAAGCAAGTGTGCCGACACAGGGCCAAGGGGCAGCAGTGGACCCTCCACCCGCTCTAACCCCCACCCGGGAGGTGGCACCAGCTCCGCCTACCAGACTGGAGGAGGTGAGCGCCGTGTAAGCAATGACATTTCTAACCACACCCTGCAAAATACAGTGTACTTAGCAAATGCTGCACCTTCTGAGAATGGGGGGGGGGGTTACTACTAAGAGCAGAGACGTTGCCGAGAACAAATTCTGGCTTGAATGTCATGTACACTAATAATGACACGTTTCTTGATAAGCGAGAGGAGTTTGAAACACTACTGAGAGTACTGTGGGGTTCAGGAGGTTTGGGTTCACACTCAGGATGGAATGGAGAAAGGAAACTCACAATGTGCTCTCTTTATACATGTTGTATTGGATGTACAATGCAGCTTGGTGCTGGGAAGGCAGCATGGTTACAAGCGTGATGTAGAGAGAGCTGGTTGGTGAGGATGCCCAGAGGAGGACCAGCTTGTGGGTCGCCATGCTCGCCGGCGGGAGCGAGGACCACCAGGCAGGCGGAGGAGGTGTTGCTGGCTGGTTGGTGTAGGTAAAAAAGAGACAGGTCACCACGAGGTCAGGTCTTAAATAGCGGGGGGGTAGGCGTGCCTTAGTAGTTGACCCCCGCTCCGTGATGTATGGCGGCGCTGGTTGACCTAGACCACGAGGCACACACTGTGGAATTCGTGGGGTCGGCTACGCAACGACAAACAGCGTTTGTAGGGGAGAAATCCACTACAATACTCCCCCTTCCCTAAAGGCGGTG